AGTTTACAACTGGTTTCAATGTAGAGTCATTTTTTTTCAATTTATTCATTGATTTATTTGGCAGTGACTTTCTAAGCATACAAAATTCCTGATACTATTCTTGAGGAATTTATGGAAAATTTCCCAACCAACGTGATCATGGTACACCTCAATATAAAGGCTTGCTTCCATTGCACATGACCCAAAACATGACATTTCTAAAGAAACCCATAGTGGGCTAGGATTGCTATTTTTTAAAAAGCATTAACTCATGAGACAACATTGAATTAGTTCTTAATAAGGTCAAAACTGTTTCTCCATATGTGAAGTGAAGATGTTGGAACATTCTGCATGTATCTTCTACATAATTAGTACCTTGGAGTAATGATCACTGGAGAAAACATTTTCATTACCAGAAAACATTTATGGAGTACTTTTTTTCTGCCAGACACTGTACAAAAATACACAGCTACATTCTTGTTCTCAAGAAGTTTAAAAGTGATCATATAATGCATGTATTCTTTGCACAAACAGTACAAATGAAGTCTCAAGTTAAAACATGTATGTTCTAGGTTGGGCACAATGACTCATGCTTATAATTCCAGCACTCTGAGGGACTGAGGCAAGAGGATCCATTGAGTCAGGAGCTCGAGACCAGCTGGCAACATAGTGAGATCCTGTCTCTACAAAAATAATTTAAAAAAAATTAAAATATAAAAATATTTGTTATTGTTCTACACAAAAAATTAGCAATATCATGTGTATATATTATTTTATGTGTGTCAGAAATTTTGTGTGTGTGTGCATGTGTGTATGGAATGAAATGAATTATAAAATAATTCATAATTTTAGTGGAAAATTTACCTGTGAGCCTTGACAGCATTATTTGACAATTCAGACAATATAGCATAAATCAGTAGTCAGACAGTAATGCCAACTTTCTCTAGCATTTGCTTCTGCACTGGAGAAGTGACTAGCTATGCTAACAAAATTAGTGCGTATCCCTCATCTCATACTTACTCCTTGTCCTGATCTCTCTATTTCTGCTGGCAACAACACTAAGCTATTCATTGCTGAGGCCTCAAAACTTTATAAATTGTTCTCCCTTGATAAATTTCTCCATATAAAATTCGCTGCCAAGTTCTGCTGACTTTACCCATTGTGGTGACTTCCCACCTGTCTACATTTTCCAATATCAGTTGCCCTATGCCTCTTACCTGGACAATTACAGAGGCTTCCCAGGTGGTGCCTCAACCCCACCTTCCTTCTTCCCCATATTGACTTTCCCAAGGGCATCCCAATACTCGAGTGCCAGGCTACTGTTTATAATGCACAGAGCTGACTGTGTTCCTGTTCAAAACCACATTGCTTTCAAAATAAAGTCCAAGCTTGCCATTGAGGCAATAATCTGACCACAAATATTTTCAGTCTTATTTTGACTGCTCTCTGCCTGCCCTATGATCTTTTAAATTCAGCCAAACAGGCTCTCTGTAAAAGACTTGCACTTTTCAAAGCTATGTTTGAGTATAGGCTGTTTCTTCCACCTAGAATCACATTCTCTCCTTCTCGATTTACAATGTCAAATGCCTGTCTGCCACAAAGATTTCAACCCCTACATTCCCACCTCAATATGCATGCCTTGCCCAGAGCTGATTTCATCTTCCCTGGGCCTCTCAAGCAGTTAGTTATTCCTTCTAGTAAAACAATGACCCACATTGGTGTCCCCATAGCTTTCCTGTTCTGGACTGTAAGCTCCCTGAAAACAGAGACCATGCTTTGTCCACTGTTTTGTATCTTCTCAACTAGAGCATTTATCAAGTTCCTGGCACCCGAAGGAATGCAGTAAGCATTAGTAAAACTAAAATTCTCCTGAAGGCAGAGGAACACCCTGGGTGACCTGTAAAATGCCCCTACTGCTGCGGCATCTTCCGTAGATTTTGTAGGTAGCAGGCCTATGTCTGTCCTGGCTTCAAACCTACCCAAATCTGCTTAGTAACACAACTCTGTTTTAATACCCAGATGTATACAAGGGTAAAATGCATGACTTAATTGTTCTAGAAACAATGAGTACCCCTTTTCAGACAACTTCTGTAAAATTAAACTTAGTAAGAGTATATCACCCTAAACCCAAGAAAACGAGGCTTAAGATAAATTTAAGAATATACACATGATCTAATTTTAAAAAATAAGTGAAGGAGTTCCATAGCACATCATAGAAGAAGTACCTGGATTTGAAACCTAACTCTGCCACTCCCACCAGTAGTAGATTCTGGGCAATTACTTAACCCCATTGAATTTTAATGTCTTTATTAGTAAAATAAAGATTCAAATACCTGAAATATGGTCTGTGTTATGGGTGCATATTAGATGCTTGATAAGTGTTAATGTGCTTCTTTCCTCTTCAAACTCAGCATATTGTTGTGGATCTGCTCAGAAGGAAGGACCCTGGCTCTGGAATTAAACCTGGCAACAGTGCCAGTCTCTGAACCCTCATTTCTTTCTCTGCAAAATAAAGATAATAAAGCTACTTGTGAAAATATGCTCGATACTCCTTTTACCCAAGCATGGAACTTATAATCTATGGTTTAAAATGTGTTTTCAATTATTTGAAGGAGGGCTGGCACTGATGGGCCTATCCGATCCATCCTGAGCTAGTGATATTTTTTCTTTTTTTTAAGAGACAGCTGGCTTCTTACTATGTTACCTAGGTTGGTCTTGAACTCCTGGCTTCAAGTGATTCTCCTACCTCAGTCTCCCAAAGTGCTGGGAATGCAACGGAGAGCCATTACCCCTAGCCTGAGACAATCACTTTCAGGCTTGTACCACACAACTGGGAGAAGGCTAATTGGGCCAGAAGTTATATTCTGCTCCATAAATATGGAACAGAGAAAAGCTAGCTGACCTTTACGTGGATACTATAAATTGTTTTTAAGATGCTTTGCGCGTTGCACGGTGGTTTTAAATCTCCAGTCTAGAAATTGTGTGCCAGTTAGGAGTGGATTGAGGTCACACAATGTTTATGTACATCATTTTATGGACAAGCTAAGTGATATTTACCACCAAAGTCCAGGGAAAGGTTACTTCTGTCAGCAGGCATCTAAAGGCTCCATACTCTCAGTTATAGGAATGAGTGGCAAAGCGGTGAGATTACTGTGGTCTCTTTTCTTTGAACAAAGAAAGTATGGCATGTTTCTGACAAGCCCAGAATACATGACCTATAGTTCATGAGGGGAGGCTGACCCTAGAGTGTTCACTTGTCTCAGGAAAATGTCAGCCCGGTTGGCTATAACTCTTCACCTTTGAGCTTCCTCGTCATTGGCTTCCAAAGAATAATGTACATAAATATGAAGTTCTGTGCAACATACATGAACGTGTATCAGAATCACAGAAGTTTTCACATATATCCTGATTCTGAAATAAAAAAATCAGTTCCGTTCATCTGAGGCCAGAATGGCAACTAGTTCTTGTTGAAGTGAGAGATGATTAATTCAGCCCTCCCTAAAGTCTCCCACTGTATCATTTGATTTCAAAAACTCTATTTTTTTTATGCTTCTATGATTTTTCATAGTATCTCAGAACATCTAACAGATGCATGCTTTTCTTTCTATATGTACATGGATCATATGCGATTCTGGTACCTGAAATTGACCAATAAAAACTAAAATACATTTCCATATGTATGACACACTCCTTGTTCCTCTTGTAACTGTCAAGTTCTCTAGTTAATGTCCTAAACCTGAAAGAAACGTGCCTTGGAGGAGAAAAAAGAAAAGGGGGAATGATAACATTACCTGTTATCCAAAATGAACATACAAGTAGAGATCACTTTCCAAATGTCCATGATTTCAGAATATAAATGCAGACACAACCTTAAAAGAAGCATTAGAAAGGAGAAAAACTGGCCAGCTTCCCACATCTCTCAGAATTCAGTTGGACTGGGTGATGACTGAGATCAAAGGAGTGCAGGGATTGGACAGAGGACCCGGAGGAACTGGCATCTTCAGGGCTGCTGGAAATTAGCCAGCTCAACCACATCAAGCAAAAGCAAACTGAAAGTAAATATGGGCAAGTAATCGAATGCACATGGGGGTCAGGGGTACCCTTCACAAAATGCAAAACGTATGTGTTCCCAAAGGAGAAATTTCCAGGTCTTCAACAACATATACCCAACAGGAAAATCAAAACATCCCCCTTGTAATCCAGAGTCTGAACCTTTGGCTCCTATATTAGGAAGTGGGCAAAAAGACCTCTTTGTCATGGTACCCACCATGTTTCCTTGCCCTCCTCCACTTCTATGCCCCCCTTCCCTAAGTAACTTTATCTCTCACCTAGTTTCTAAGAACAATTAGATTTTTGCAAGTTTGGGGGTGTTCTCTCTGGAACAGTAAGTTCCTAACTGTGTTCCTAATTCTGCTGTTTATGATGCCTGTGGTAGAAGGTCACCTCAGAGGTGTGATTTTTCAGTCTACCTTACCCCTGACTTTAGACAGAGAGGACCCACACGGACACCAAATGCCATTTTTACCATGAATTCTTATCTTCCTTGTACTCCTGTTGCTACTTGTATATTATAATGAAAGAGATTCGTTTATGGTCCCATTCCCCTATATACACGCTCCCCAAATTCCACATCCCCTTAGAAAAGTAGAACAAAGATTACAGACAAATTCTTTTCTGCAGGTTCACAGATTTACTGAAAGAGTGCACACAGAATAGGGGCTCTGGATGGGGAAAATCTTGAAAAAAAATCCCCGAATAAAGCTATACAGAGAGAAAAACAAAGGAGGACAGCCTTTTCAAACTTGGTGTCCCTTTAAAAATATATACAGATTACATTCTCACAGAGGAAAACGTAGTGTAAAATCCAGCCGCACTTCAGAGATTTCCTCTCACCAAATTGTCTCCGGTCCCTTAATTGTGTTTAAGCCTTGCTGAGAACTTTGTTTACGGTCCCTAGGGCAGTGATTTGCATCCCCCTCTCTGGGTTGCTGTTGGCGGTCGCGGGCAGCTGTCTCAGTCCGACTGTGGCTGGGAAAGGTAAGGATCTTTGCCTTGGTCTTTGAAAGATCTGGGAAGGAAATGCTGAATGCCTGTGGGGGTCAGGGGCATAAATGTAATGCATGTATTGGAGGCTTTCGGAAAAGTTCTCCAAACGTAAAGGAGTCTCCTAGAGCCACGTGCTTTAGAAAGAGCTAGCGAGATTTTCTCTTCCTTCTGAAAAGAGAGGGCTGGCAGAATTGAGGCATCGTGGATAAAATGTTGTCTCTGGGGGCAGGTGTCCCTGAAGGAATTCCCAGGAGTGTTGAATACCTTATAGACACAGAGTGGAAGGAGGATGACACATTCAAAGGCATCAGGCATAGATTACTAGGACTTCTCTTCGAATTTCAATTTGAAGAGGTAAAGTTAGCTAAAACTACATGTGTCAGAGTTATCAGGATAATTATCTATCCTTCTGACACAACTTCCACTTTATCCCAAAGCTTTCTACTTTGGATTTAACAATAGAAGCCATCCGTTGTCTGCTTAGGGTCTGGAGATGTGCATATCTAAGCAGATGCACACCCCCTGTGAAGGAGGATTGGGACCATGGGGCACCAGAAGCCGGACAAGGATGAAGCTTTGATATTAGAAATAATGCCAGACCTGTCCACGCTCCGGGGGACCACAGAGACACTCCCTGGGCCTCATTACAGGTTCAGTCAAGGGCACATTATGAAAAAAATGTGCCTGTGGCCTCTCTCTAGAAGTTCAATTCATGCACCTTTAGCTTTGGTAAAAGAGAAGCATGATTTTCAACAGAATAAGGTGATACTCAGAGCTTCGGTGGAATCACTGGTCTGTTTTTGTGGAAAAGCAACCATCCTAGGAAGTAGAGAGGACTTGCCCTCAAAGGCCCAAATTCACAGCTGTAAAGACTGGGCTTTTAAGGAGTTTCTCAAGAAACACTCGTTTACGTAGCCGTCCTCACCCACACCTCACACACATCTCACCATCTTTCTGGGGCAATTTCTGAAATGCCCTGGTTCTAAGTATCCCTTATCTTCAACACCAAGTGACAGCTTCCCGGCAGACGATGGCTTTTTCCCTGTGTGTCTCACTTTTTAAAAGTGTGAGGATGGTGGTGATCGAGGCCCTCCAGGTACTTGCTGTGACTCAGCCAGGCCTCAGAGACCTTTTTACTTTGTTTTTTTTCTTGGCTTTCATTCTAGAATGAAGGACCTTTTCCCTCTCTTTTAGTAACAAAATTGTCAAGGTATTTTGTTACTAGATGGGGAGGGTGGTGGGAGGGATGTGCTATGATAGAACAGAGGCAAGATGTTTGAGAACATCCAGTCCCTT